CCTCAAATAGTATTTGAATATTGAGATTTCCCAGCTGGAAAGAAACAAAAACACTGCTAGCTCACTGGGAAAAGCTCAACATTTTAAGGCGTTTTTCCTCAAAATCTGGTTTTTGGGTTGCTAATGCTCAAAGTGCTTCAAAAAAATTTTTAGGACAATATTTCAGACAGTTCATTGAAATGATACATTGATAACACATTTATTTGTTATATTCTGACAAAATGTAATTTTTGCAAGCGTTTTTTAATCAAAACACTACATAACTTTTAGACTTAATCCTTGTTTCGATGTGATGGGTCACATGTGATAATAAAATCTTAACACTCGTGAGTCTGTCTGCCTCGGACAGATCTGGAGGACGAGGATAACGAGAAACGAGAGCGGACCGAGGCGGACATCGCTGGGCTTTATCGTTTTTACTCCAAGCACCTGGAGATACCCGACCACAAAGACCTGCTCCATCTCTTTTCCCAGGTACACGCGTGGAGATTTGACTTTTTATTGTCCCTCTCTTTCGGGGGTGGGGGGTCCGCACCGTCTTTCACTTCGTGTGCTTTCTTCAACAGGTTGCTTGTAACGGCTTCACTGTAGAGGATGATGAACTTTCTCAGATGGGTACTGCAATCTATCCTGAGTAAGAGGAAGTTCTCTCGTTTAGTTTTGTTTTTTTCCCAACTCTAACCTTGGTCTATGTTAAGGAGCAGAGAGTGTTTATTTTTATTTTTTTACTCTAATATCCTTTCTTTCTCTCACCGTCTGTCTCTCCTTACAGCGTGGCGTTGATAAACCACAGCTGCCTCCCCAGCGTCATCGTCACGTATAACGAAACGTCGGCCGAAGTTCGGGCGGTGCAGGACATGAAACCAGGAGATGAAGTGAGGGGCAAAGAAGTACCCATAGCAAAATGTAGTATACTTGAAGTTCATTTTAATAAGTATACATGAGTATAAGTATATCAAGTATACTAGGCACATGTACTTGTGGTGTACTTGAAAGTATACAGCAGGTAAAATAAGTATTGAACACGTCACCATTTTTCTCAGTAAATATATTACTAGAGGTGCTAATGACATGAAATTTTCACCA